CCACACCAAAAATGATGTTGTGTTTTTCTACCATATGGCAAATGTCATTGTTCATGTCTATAAATTGCACGACACAGACCTTTCAAGATCTTCAGTTGTACGTGAACTTGGTGTTTTGATTGACTCGCGCCTCAATTCTAATTACCCTGTTTTGAAAATTAGCAATGATTCCTTACGCTTCTTGAGCGTGATTACACGCTCTACCCGTAATTCCCGCCGTTACAGCTTTATACTGCACCTATTTCGGTTGTTAGTTTCATCAAGGTTGAACTTTACTTCTACGCTGCAGAATGCTCTGAGCGTCAGTCAAATGCTAAGGTTAGAGTGCGTACAGCGACGATTTGTAAGAATTATTTAGTATTGCCACAATGGATGGAGAGCTTTTTTATTTGATTACGTGCGTCTCTTGAATACAGTTGGTATTTCGCCTCTTTCGGATAGACGAGTAGTTCGCGATATGTTTTTTTTTTTTTTATAAACTGCTCGATGCTGTTATTGATTCCCTCCTGTTAATGAGTAGAATCTCACCTTATGTTCCCCAGCGAAAGAACTGGTCTACAGTTTCTTTTTACCCTCCAAACGTAGAAGATAGTCCTCCGTTTACTCGGATGCAGGGCATGTATGACACGTGTTTTTAACTGAACGTGGGCCTCTTCACTACGCTCGCATATTTTAAAAAAAAAAATGTAAAACTGACGCTCACTTTGTAGTGGAAAAATATTTCAGTCTGATTGTCTAACTTCATGCAAGTGTAACCTTCCTAATGCCTTACTAGCTGTTTGGGGCACAATAAAACACCGGGTGATTGATTGATTGATTGATTCTAATCACTTAACATCCTACGAGAAGATGATTGACACCATTTCAAGATATTTATTTAAATTCCACCAAGCAGGTAAACTTTAGACAAAGAAGGCATATTTGGATTAACGGTGAAATTCGGGAACTATCTCATCGCAAAGACATGCTTTGCAGCAGATGTCTGTAAAATCCAGATGGCCTTCTTAAAAAAGAATTTCGAGGAATTCGGAACAAAGTAACAGTAAAAATACGTTCAGCGAAACGAACACATTATATTGTCACGAATTACTAAGGAATAAATGAATGAATTGGGAGTTTATGGCGCAGCAGCAACAGGGGCTATTGTGCGCCAAACACAAGCTAGGTGATAATGATTTGAGTATGAAGCTAAAATGAGACTGAATCAAGGATCTACAAAACGATTGATTATATACCCATTTGACCGCAGCGCCCTCTCCTGTATAGACGTTGAGCGGCTACATGCAACGTTTCATCCATGACATCCCCAGCTCTTGAGTTACTACCACATCTCAGAGGCCCCTACTCGTCCCGCAGTCGTGGCTGAGTGGTTAAGGCGATGGACTAGAAATCCATTGGGGTCTCCCCGCACAGGTTCGAATCCTGTCGACTGGGCAGTTGCTTTTTTTTTTTTTTTTTTGAGAAGACAGATGGGATGGCAATCGATGTGAGCACGGACGCCGGACGGACAAGGCTACCCTAAGGAGCTTCGCCCCTAATACCCTATAATCAAGGGTTTTTATTGATCAACCAGTGGAAGGAAGAATGCAATCTGGCCCTGGACGTGGGCCCGACTTCATCATATATGTATATACTTTGGCCCACTCTGCTCATGGGCTCCTCGGTGGCGTCGCCGGCGGCTGACCCTAAGAATGCCGTTAATTTAGATAGCAGGTGAGGGTTTTTCTGGGTACATAAGGGGCGGGGTGCCATACCCTGTCCCCCCAGGGAGGGCAGAGCGGCGGGCGGAGCAAGGGGTGCAAGCCTTGCTCCTTACTAGATCCGGGCACGGCTACATCCTTCCTAGCGCTGGGAGACGGTGCCTGCTGCACCGCTCCCGAGGTAGAGGGGGACCCCGACGGGAGACGCAGGTCATCCACAGATGTCTTCGTTTCTGTAGACACCATTAGCCCGTGTGACGTCACGAGGGTCCCGCGCGGTGCATTATAGGACATTTCCCATGATGCTACGCGCGGGGAGGAGGAGGGGAGGAGGAGAGGGGAAAGAGGAGAAGGAGGGGGAGGAGGGGATGAGGAGGAATGGGAGGAGGAAGGAGGAGGGGAGCTTGAAGATTGAGGGGAGGAGGAGGGGAGGAAAAGGAGGACGAGGAGGAAGGGGAGAAAAGAGGGGAGAAGGAGTAGCAGGAAGGATGAGGAGGTGAGCAGGGAGGAGGAAGGGTATACCCTCCCTCAGTACCCTTCCCTCCTCCTCCTCAAGAGCTGCGCTCTAATTCGTCGTTATAGGGTACTGTAAACATCTCATTTTTAACTCGTTCTTACAGTCACCTGTGACATGCTCTTTGCTGGAGAATTTCGCACATTTCGTCAGGTCTGCAACCGTTTTTGCGGGTTAATGGCACGTCCACAGTGTGATCTTGAGACACCTTGCGGAGAAGATGCACGATCCAGAGAGGACGAAGAGCAGCCCGCAGTTGACAACTCCCAAGCCGACCTTCTTCAAGTGGTTGTCCCGGGGGCTCCTCGGCAGCAGGAAGCGCGATGGACTTCCTCGCTGTAAAGGGCGGCGAGAAGGGCACCAGGTACCGGTGCTTGCGCTGCAGGATTCCCTCGGCAATCTCTACGACGTACGACCGCAGTCGTTGGGCCGGGCTCAGGACGCGTGCTTGACAGCCGGCATCCGTGACCTAGACGCTGTCACCCGGCTTGAGAGGACCAAGAGAGCTAGTGCTGTGGCGGCGAATGAAGTCTCTCGCCTGCCGGACCTCATTCTTGGAGTCTTGAGCCTGTAACCTTTCGTGGCTTGGCTCAACTGATGCAAGACGCAGCGGCAGTGCAGGCAGAAGCATCTGTAACCGCCGACCTATCAGCAACATGGCAGGAGAAACTCCTGCGACGCCCGGAGTGTCCCGGTACGTGAGAAGCGCTAGGTACGGGTCTTCGGAGTTGTACAAAACATCCTTCACCGTGTGCACCATGCGATCTACTGGGCAATTACTCTGCGGCTACCGAGGGCTGCTTGTCTCATGCTCGAAACCCTGTGACAGAGCAAAGCTTGCGAGCTCCTGTGGAGCAAACTGCGGACCATTGTCTGTCCGGACAACGTCCGGTATCCCACGTCGGGAAAAGCAGCTCTTGGCAGCCGCGATAACCGCTGAGGCTGACATAGAGCTCAGGGTGACGACTGCCAGAAATCGAGAGAAATGGTCCACCACGAGAACATAATCATGGCCTTTCAGCTGAAGCAATTCAATGGCTAGGCGTTGCCATGGCCGATCTGGTTTAGGCGTTGACGTCTAAGGCATCGAGTGCACAACCCTTGTTTCCGCACACTTGTCGCAGCCGGTGACCAGATGTTCGATATAGCTGTTTCAGTTGAGCCTCCAGATGCTTTCTCTGGCACTCTCCTTACAGCGGCGAAGTCCCGGATTTCCGTCGCGCAGAAGGGTCAGGACGTTGCTACGCAGAGCAGCAAGAATTACGAGGTGACAAACCGGCAGAATGAGCGTTAAGCAGCCCGCGACGCGTACCGTTCGACGTTTTTCGAGGATTGTTTCCGTTGATATAATCTCTGAAAAGCTTTCCCGGCTATGTTCCCGGTCTTCGCGAAAAATAGCTTGGTTGGGACGGGGTATGAGGACGGAATAGACACGTTCGTACATTTACTTCGGTGTAATGCAAAAAAAAAAAAAAAGTATTTTTAAAACGTGTTTTAGAACAAGCCGGATTCCATCCGATCATCGTGAAACGACTATCGTCGACACTGTATACTGGATATGCTGTGTTATTTGAGACATTTCTCAAACCCTGTTCGGATAGCGCGGAAGCGTTGGGTACGTACAACATATGCTGCTCGATTCATGAGACTCGTTGCATTTCACTTTGTGAGCCGGAAATACAGTTCGACTATCGTGTGTGGACAAACATTTTCGACAGTTAAGACCTTTGCAGGATGACACGAATGAGTGTATGGTGCAGTGAAAAAATCAACGAAAAATTAAATAAACATTTCAGGTGCATTTGTTTCGTCGTGAACAGACTCACCAAAAATAGCTTTTATGTGTATGTTTTTGCTCCCGAAAATTGTACGATGCTTTCTTAAAAACCTCGAGAAATTCTATTCGCCATATAACACAAAACAAAAAATAATGTGCGGCAATTTAGCCGCCACCAGCGTCCGGAATCACGCCTACGCAGACTGCTACAGCGCACCGATGAGAAAACCCACAGCCCAGGGCAGTCGGGCAACACTGACGTACACTCTCCAACCCAGGGACGCCCGCTGTAAATTGCTTCGTTCGAGACTGCCGCTCGAAAGGTCTATAGTCACTGAATGTTCCAAAAGCACCGAAACTCGCAAACTTCGTTTCAGAACCGAGTCGCGGCGCAGCAGTCGCTGCCCCGTGCCGTCGAAGCGAAGCGCGTGTAGCCTTCGTTCTCGTGCCAGCTCTTCAATCCACTTTCCAGGGGGGCTATTCTGGTCGCAAACAAGAAAGTCACGTAACGAGAACTTTGGGGCGGAGCCTCAAACTAGAATGATTCCTGTTTGAGGCTCCGCCCCAACGTTCCGCTTCACGCACGCGGCCAGCTAGAATCTGACGATGCCCTACGTCGCGGTGACGTGTCCACCCAGTTGGGGCGCAGAAATCCCCGCCCATTTCCCCCTGTTCTTTTTCTTCTTTCTTTTCTACGGGAGTTAGAACGAGCGAATAACGGAGGAAAGGCTACCTTCCGGAAAATGGAAGGAAAAAGAAAAAAAAATAATATTATCATTCTATAAAATACGAAAGATTATTTCAATAATTATGACGTAAAGTAAATTTAGCTAAGAAATCTCTAATTGTTTTCTCGAAGTATTTCCCTACGGCCTTTCAAAACAAACATGGCGAAAACCGCGGTAACGACCTTGTGGTGTTTGTGCCTCGTTAGCGTCGTTGCTTTCCCTGTTTCTGCCCGATACGGATGGCATTACGAGAGGAAAATATTATGCGAAGTGTACGCTGCGGCACGGATCATCCTTTGTGAAGCTGACGTGAACATAAGCTGCAAATGAAATGTACTCTTTGCCTCTGAAGGAGACTCCAAATGGATACAGCGCTGTCGACGACTCTGCGGTAATATCTGACAAGTCGTGAGATCGACGGAGTGTGCACCGGTTGTTAATATGACGTGGATGATGCAGGAAAGTTTCTTCTGGCAGTTTTAATAATGCTTTGCTCCCTTTGCTCACTGCAGTGATTACGATGGTAGACCCCATAAGCAATGTTCTTTTCTTTCGGCGCTGAAGAAATGGACGCGACCGCATATTCTCGGGCAGTCTTTTTTACTTACTTTTTTTATTTACAAAAAAGCTGGTGCAAACAAAAAAGCCTTTTAAGTTTTTAGACTTCCCTACATATATAGGCACCTCGCTGTCCCATGGGCTTTATTGCTCGTGGCGATTCAACGCTCTTTGCCATGGGATCGTTCGTGAAACTAGAGCGCCTCTGTTTGCCGCTAACAGTCACTTGTCGGGTTGTGACGACCAAATGACGTAAGAACAAGAACGCACGGGAGTATTTGCATTGTTTTAACTCGACAACCTTGGCGTGATAAACTCGAAAGAACATGGCCGCGATGCTCGTCGGATCGACCGCGGCTGGGGTTTGACGTGCGATCGGTAACTCGATGAACGTGCACACAAATGCTTCCGTGCTGTTGGATGGGCCCATTCGGTGGCAAGGGTTGAAGAGCATATAAAAACATATAAGAACCATATAAGAAACTTATGAGAATCTTTTCACAAGTTTTTTATATGTTTCTCATATGTGCTTATATATCTTATATAGTTCTTATATATTCTTATATGTTCTTATATATCCTGTATGATTCATATATGTTTATTGGACACGAGAAATATCTCATGCAAATGGCTTTTTCTCTGGGGAATGGATCCCTGGCGTTAATGACCTGTGAAACACACGTTCGTTTTTCACCCCAAGCAATCGAAGTCGCAGAAAAAACTAAAGAAAAACGAGCAGCGCTCAGCCCCTCAACTCGCAGCCAAAATAAGCGGCCACGTGAACTGGAGCCGATTATATACCGCCAAAGTTGATCCTATAGCTTCGCGCTCGGCTTGGCAAGGCACAGGACACGTTCTCAGTTCCAGATATTGTTATGGTTCGGCTCTTGTCGCTCATTCCAGCGATTGAACACGGGCCACAGTCTGTGAGCAGCATTCCATATCGTCACTGGGTGGTACTGCGACCGCCAAGCTACGTCATCAGGTTTTGCGAAGGAGAGATTGAATGAAAACGCTCGCTCGTGTCCTTGAAATGACGCCGCGACAAAGGAGTTTCTTGGCCTGTGGCGTTGCGTGCGAGGATCCTTGAGTCCCACCCATGGCAGTAAGCTCGTGCAAATTGAAACACATTCCAATTGAATAGCGTTGCACCGCCCCTTTCCCTCCTTTGTTCCGAGCGGTCCGTGACTTGCTCGTCGCTGTCCCTATTCTCTCTCGCCTCGAAACACATCGAAGTCGAGTGTAAGGCTTAGCGTCTGAGGCGTAGAGTTTGAAACGCAGCCCTAGCGCAACCGGAGCGAGCACACGAGCTGGCAACCTTCTTTGGCGAACCAGATTACCGGCTACTTGATATGAAAAAAAAAAAAGCTAGAGAAAATCAACGCACCTTCCGTTCGGTCCGAACTCAACGATGCGCTGAGCTCCCACCCGTGTGCACCCGCCGTATCCGTGGTAGCGCAAAAACGTTTTATGTTTTTTGTTTTTTTTCGAACCGATTCTTAAAATGGGCGACTGATAACTTTCCCCACGGGCTAAACCAGCCAATCAAAACTGTGTTCTGAGGTATTGATTTCCGGTAAGCGGACTGAATGAAATTCGGTAGTCTTGGAACATTTAGTGACTTTAGACTCCGCATATCCAACGACCTTCTACGTCGCAAATCCGCTGTCTCGCTTTTCTTTGTCCTCGAGCCCTCTGCCGTCTGATAAAGTTCCATCGTCATATCGCGTAATCCTTTTTTTATATGTGATCAGACCTATTCCTACAACACGCTTCCATCTTCGGAAGTTTAAACGACAACGGGGATGACGACGCAGAAAGAAAACGTTGCATACCCGGCCAATTTGGCGAACGTCATCAGCATCGTCGCCCGAACTCGGTGGTGAAGACTCTCTGCTGGCTGTTGATGCTTGGCTTTAATAAGGGCTCTGACGTAGCTGACATTCTAAAACGAAGAGCTCGGGCTTTATTGTCTATAAGTGATTGAATTGGCCTATTGGCGCCGCCATTTTTTTTTTTTTTTCTGCGGAGTTTTTTGGGCTTTGTTGGTGAGCGACAAGCGGGATTCAGGACCATTACTCTACTGTTTTGAACGTCAACAAGGTGACTCTAGAGTTCTGTCTTTTCCAGCAAGCAGAGTGGTGGCGTGCCCTTCGTTAGGCATATTCGAGAAAGCCGATTGGGAACACTGATTGTGCGCGACAGTAGGACCTCGATAGCATTCCTCTTACGCGTAGCTACTGTAGTGGCAGAAGACCCTTGTTTGGCCAAAAGCCCGGTTGGCCTATAGTTTAAGGACTCCTGTTTCTAAAATCTGACACCAAATGAACAATGCTCACTTATGCAGGCTTAGCGTTCGGTCGAACTGGATTTGAGAAGTGATAGCAATGCGCTACTTGGAGCCGATAAAATCTTGAGCAATTTTATTTTATCCCTGGCGAACGGTCTCGTAGTTATAGTTACTGGCTGCTTAGCAACGACATGGTATCACTAATTTCGGCTGCATGTATTGCCTCGACATTGCTATGGAGTGGAGTGGGTAAACTTTATTTTAGCCTGCAGTAAAACGCGCGCTTGCGCGCGCGCTCCGGACGGGGCCTACATCGTCTTCTGGGCGCTGGGTCCCTGCCGGGCCAGCGCCCCGATGACCTGCTGGACGGCCCAGAGTTGTTGTTCTTGATTATCGCTCCCTGCGGCTGCTTCAAGTCGCAGCGGGATGCTCCCAGACTTTGATTCTTCCGGGTACTTGATACAATCCCACAGCATATGTGCGAAGCCGGCCGTCTCCCTTCGGCAGACTCTGCACTTGTCTGTCGGGTGCGCCTCGGGATACATTCTATGCATCAGCAACGGGCTGGGGAGTGAGCCCGTCTGCAGCTGTCTAAATAAAACGGCTTGTTCTCGACTGAGCCCCGAGCAAGGTGGTGGGAGAGTTCTGCGAGCTAGGCGGAAATGGGAATTATTTTTAATGGGCTGTGCTGCGTTGTTCTTCGTTGGCCAGAAGTAAAACTATTTTCCGAGAGGGATATTTATTGTACTTCTGAACTTGCCGGTGTAATCGTACTATTCAGAAAGGTTTTACCTCGCACTTGATTGTTCAATTCCAGACTAACAAAGCATATCTTCCTTTAACCTATGGCATAGCCTCCTCAATACTCATAAAGCCTGGCAGTTGGACGACGGAGACATAGAGTGCCCGGACGCAGATTTGGAGCGCGGGGATCTGGTAGCACAGAGCATCAAAGGGCCACTTCTCGGGGAACCTGGACGTCAACGCACAGCTTTCGCAGCGGCGAGGACCCGAAACACACACTTGTTCGCTCGGGAGAAGTGTGTTTTAGCGTCTCGCCACAGCGGGGCGCCAGACATGCGTGGCTCTCCTCTCATCCGTAAAGCCGCTCTATCCTGGGAAAATTGTCGCCATTCGTTGTTGTGGAAATGCTCGAGACACGTGCCGCGCTCCACTTCTGGTAAGAACATGGCGTCTGAAGTCTAGCTCAGTGCTGCGCTGAGCCGCCATGATCTTTCCAAGGGCTGCACGTCGCGCGTGCCTCGTGCATCGACGCACCTTGCGCTACTTTTGAAACATGAAGGGGCTCTCGTCATCCGTTGTCTGCCGCTCCACCTTTTTCACTTCGGCGGCGGCCGCTTCTCGCGGTGATCTGCCAGGCTTGGTCAGTATGTAGGAGGCTATGGATAAAGACTCAGTGAGCGGGAAAGTGCGGTACGCGTGCCGTCCTGCTCATCTCGCGCATGCACGGGTCGCGGGACGGGGCGACCAACTGAAGGAGCCAACTGAAGAGAAGGCGGCTGAACAGAAGCAACGACGTACTGTGAATGACCGCATTGGAGATGCTCCACGTGGCTCTTTGCTGATCCGTTGTGTGCCGCTCCCCCTTTTCCACTTCGGCGGCCGCTTCTTGTGGCGATCTGCCAGGCTTTCTCAGTAGATAGGATATACAGTGATGTCGCGTTAATATAGACGCCTCCGTTCCCCCATGAAATTGTCCATAATGTAAGTTGTCCATATTAACGATACAAAACTTCATGTATTTTTCCAGTTTGTCCCCGAAAATGGTATTCATATAGCGCGGTATCCATATTAACGGGCTCCATATTAACGAGACATGACTGTATATGCCTATGGCCACTAGCACCTAAAGAAACGCAGTTTGGATGGTTATTTTCACGTTTCCTACCTCGTGATTGGTTATTCGGTGTTCTCATCGGCTGATGCCGCCATCTGATTGGCAGCGGAGCCATAATTCGATGCCTGAGACTCGCCGCGCCCCGCGTCTTTTAAGCCGTCAGAGAGTGTATGCGGAGCGCAGGTTCGTCTCCTTCTCGCTCAGGGGTTGCGGTGAGGACAGAACGCAGAGCTCTGATTGGCACCCACTGGAAGAATAGGGGGTAGACCTCAAGCCGTGCAGCCATAGCATCTACCCACTATGCTTCCAATCAGGGCCCATCAGAGCTCGGCGTTCTGACGTCACCGCAACCCCTGCGGAAGACCAACTTTTGATGTCCGCATACTAACGTAACAGAAGGAACAAATTGGCTTACCTCTTGTTTTTACAGTTGAGTTGCAGACTGATAGAATAGACTCGCCATTTAATTTAGTCATACAACCTTACGCATCACTCCGAATAATTCATGCGCATCTACGCTACGCAGCCGAAGAGTCAATCACTGCTATCTGCGAAGTCACGCGTAGGTAAATAACGAAGGATATTAGGTCTCGTGTGTCGAACGTTATTTTATCTCGCAACATACAAACTACGGGGAACTGATCTGCCTGTACCCTATCTACGAAACTGGTCGCACAAAAAACAAAGCGCTGCATAGTGACTGTTCTGTCAAGGCCCACTGAGAACCGAAAGAGGAATTTTTGTGCTCGGATTTATTTTTGAGGAGGGCGAGCGTAATTTCCCTTTAATTTTCTGTTGCAACAAATCGTAGTGTCACATCGCAGGCCCTTAATTAATACGTTTTTTTCTGGCCTCGTCACTGGCCGTAGATCCCAGTAATTGGCTCTTCGATCACTTTTCTTTTTTTAAGTACACGCTGCGCTCGAACAGCGTTTAAAACTTTTCAGCGCATTTTTAAGCCTATGTGCAGAGCTACATCTATAAGCTATCCCCCCCCCCCCCCCCAAAAAAAAAAAAAAAGATCCACGCTCAATTCTGGAAATATCTCAGATGTAAAGCTCATTTTTGAAGGCTATCACAGGCATGTAGCTCCACATCGTCATGCTATGTTCAGTGTAGTGAAGATGTTCTTTCTTGGAGATTGCGCCGGGACCCGACGACGGAGGCAGCTGATGGTCGCTGACGGAAGAATAAATCAGACAGGACTCCGCGGATAGGGGGAAGAAAAAAAACACGTCTATTTACAAGTGAAGCTCATTTTCGAATGTCCTGCAAAAGGTTACCGCACGTGCTGTCCTCGTCTTCTTCTCTTCTCAAAACGTCCCCTGCCCCAGCTCGCACGAGCGTCGCCAGTTCACCCACACACAGGGGCACACGTGCAAACGCCAACACGCAATGGAAAGAAAATGAAGCTCGGTCCTGTTCCCGCGTCCACTCACGGTGATGGCGGGGCCGATTCTCACAAGTGTCACATTGCCGACTTTAATTATTGCTCAAAAAGTCACGTTTCCAAGCAAACTACAATAGTCGTTGACCGCAGTGAGAAGAGCATGGTTTGGATTATCTCATTCGCGCTTCCTCCTTCGCCTTCGCGATGAGTTCTTGGAGTTGTCATCGGCAAATGTCACCGTCCCATTAACCGCGTAATAATTTTAAGATACTTGGAACTCGTCGCCACGCCCCCTACATTTCTTAAACTGTCCCTGACCATAGGACAGACTATGAGAGTGTTCTGCAAGAAAGCAGACGCACTGGTGTTTTCTATACTCGAAAAACCCGGAGTCTTTATCATAAGCAGTGCACGGGCCGTTTGAGGAGACACGGCATGACCTCTCTTTTTTTTTTTATTGGCCAGTGCGTCGCGTGACGTCATCACTGTCGCAGGGCTCTTCTTCCACATCGTGGGCGAGGGCGTGGTCCGGCTGACCGACAAGTCCAAGGTGAACACGTCGGACAGGGAGAACTACATTGACTTCCGGATGAGGTTGCTAGGAGAGAGCACGCCCAAGGGTGAGTTCAGACGCCTGGTCTCACTACACAGACAAACACTTTTTGTCTGCCAACAAAAAGTCGCCTTTCAGGCCATCAGAGACAACCATCCACGCACCCTAAAAAAGTGTGTGTAAGTTCACTTTCCTGTAAGACATACAAACAGCCAATCACGGCGAACAATAAAGGATCTCCGCGATTGGCAAAGCTCGAAAGATGATTAGATCTGCAAAATGCGATTTGCGGAGGGAAGGTGAGCAAGTGAAACGTCGTTGTCGTTGTCCCACCGCGTATCGCATTTTTTGTCTAATCGCATTCTGAGCTTCGTTATTCGCTGTGATTTTTCAATTATTTACGTGATTGGCTCTCTCCGCTGCAGGAAAGCGAACTCGTGTTTTTTTTGTTTTTTTCTAGTGCAGTACTGTATCTTTCAACCTGTCTTTTTTTTTCGTGTGGTCAGGCGTTAATGTTTCGGTGTAAACGGAGTTCATAGAAAAGTATCGTTGAAACGTGTGTGAAAGCTGTTCGCTGCTTCAGTGGGAGTCTGTCCATCCAAACAGTCATCAAGCCCTTTTCGAGGGCGTGATGATTCTTTGCAATGTCATTTTGGTATGACAACAATTAAGATAGCAGAATTAACCAAGCTTTTGCCGAAATTTCTTGAATCTCTCAACTCTGTAATGAGCAAAGATGTTTTGTCCAATGTTGTTTTACTTGAACGAGGAAAAGTAACCTCTAGCGTAGTGATCATCATGTCCAAGTAAACTGTTTTAGAGCGCAGCTCGTAGGCGCCCGTTTCCGGCTTGAGTGGCGTCGCCGTCGGCGTAACCGTGAGGTCACGTGACCCCCGTGAGGTCTCGATGGTCACGTGACGTCACGAGGGTCACGTGACCTCACGGTTATGCCGACGGCGACGGCAACGCCGCTCGGAGGGAGCAGTAGCAGGCAGGATGAGGAGGTGAGGAGGAGGGAGGAAGGATATACTTTCCCCTCAGTACCCTTCCCTCCTCCTCCTCCTCCTCCTCCTCAAGAGCTGCGCTCTAATTCGGCGTTACAGGAAGTTGTGAACAACTTTCATTTTTTTTTTTTTTTGCTAGGGATTTATTTTATGTTCGTCGTCCTTTGTCCCGAGTTAGTTTTATTCTTTCTGTGTCAAGTCAACTCTAAATATTCCGTACCTAGCGTACTGATCATTTTCTCAAGATAGTCTGTCTGTTTGTTAGTTTGTTTGTTGCTAGAGATACTACATTATTTGTCCGTCGTCCTTTGTCCCGAGTTTTTTTTTTTCTGTGTCAAGTCTACCTTATAAGATGCAAAACTTTTTTGTTATTGAGCTTCACTTTTTAATATATTTCCTGAATCAACAAAGATTAATACTGCGACCATTGTAACACAAATACTTAGGAGTGTCCAGAATTTATTATTTTTAGTAAGTTTTTTTTTCAGTTTAATAACTCGTGACTTTATGTTATACCGATGTTTTATGCTTTATTTTTGACTTCCTTCTCTCCTCACCCCTTCATGTAAAGCGATCGAATATACATGCACTTGAGATGAAACAAATGTAAATACTATCTATGACCATGCAACCCTCGTTCAACACCTCTTCGATCAACCAGCCAATAGACACCTTCTCGCCACTTTTGGTAGCATTAGCGGTCTGACCAGGATGGTGTAGGCTGACTTACTCTTTCCTTTCGATTGCTCCAGGATAGCCTGCATGACTTAGGTGCTGCAGAAGACACCGAAGACCAAAGACGGCAGAACTGATGCCAATTTCGAAAAAACCAGACACTCCCCCCCCCCCTCCCTCAACCCCCTTACCCCCACAGCGGCCTTGTGCCATCCTCCCTCCCAAAGGATCAATAAATAAATAAAATCTATGACCGACAAGCACGAGTGCTTTGCTGAGGCAGAAAAGAATGTACATGGTCAACAAACACTACCGGAAGCACAAGGATTACAAATCTTACTCTTACTAGTCTCCATTCCGCAATCCGTCCCTTCTTGTGGGTCAGCGCCCGACATTCCAGCACTACGATTCGTCGTTCCTTCGATCCGGGAAACCTACATCAACTGGTTTTTCTTCGAAGCCCACAGCCGGTTGAAAGTGTCCCTTTAAAAAAACAGCAATGCCTTGAAGTCCACCGAAGACTTGAAGTCTTCGTCGTGAACTAACACTCAAAGCTTAGCGTCAGCCACGAACCTCCGTTAGTCATCCTCAGCGCTTCTGTATATTGGAAGCGTGCGACACCTAAAGGGGGCGCGCCGATCCAACTGATGTCCCCGCCAAACGACTCAGCTGGGAACCGCACCGCGACGCCACTGTCTTGTCGCGCGCTTCCCATACGAGCTCAGAACTCGTCTTTTGAGCCTCTATGGCAAGTTTGATGTTGCGAATTTCAAATAAAAGTTTACCATTACTATTTAAAAGCGGCAATTCTTCCTGAGTAGAGCACGCACATCCTCTCTATCCAGGTATTAGGAGACAAAGCAGTTCCAATCTTGTCTTACAAACAAGACGTTCTATTTCCTCCCCCAGGCGAGACGCAGCGCGTGGTGTTCCTGTCCCCCGGTGTGCATTCGTTCCCTTTCAAGCTGGGGCTTCCCCTGGGCCTCCCTTCGACGTTCCTGGGCAAGCACGGCTGGGTGCAGTACTTCTGCAAGGCGGCCCTCAAGGAGCCCGGCGGCCTCACCCACAAGAACCAGCAGGTCTTCATAGTCATGAGCCCCATTGACCTCAACCTCGAACCCAACCTACTCACGGTAATCCCCTGTCCGTACGGTAGACGATCGGCCACCCAGTGTGCTAACCGGGACCGCAGCTAGGAGCACGGGGAGTACAAATTTGCGCTGCAGAACTCGGGGATGCTGAATTAACCCCGACCCCCGCCCGCTTCTATTCGCATGAGCATCGTAACGGCATGCAGTCGTATTCACTACTGCGTGGCGCACATTTAAGACGCCATGCATACTAGCCATAATGCACTGGCTAAATTCACACCTCCAGAAAAAAACATGCAGCAAGCGCCCACTGGGGTTCATTAACTTCCCGCTGTCAAAAGATGCACACGACACAATTACGGTATGCATTCACAAAATCACCGATGCTACTGAACGTATACTCCAGCGCATCCTGTCTCATTAAGTTTACCTGAGATAAGGGGTAAGGAATCTTCTCGAACGGCGTACGTCGGACGTTTCCTTCTGAATAGACGTCGAGAGAACCGGGAAGTTGACAACTGCATATAGTGCTCTGCGCGTGTGATCATGGAGAAATTACTGGGAATTGCACGGCGGCATGCAATCCCGTTATCACTACGGCGTTATCTACGCTAAGGAACCGTTTCGCCAACTCAGTTAGGCTGAGAGTTTACGACTGTTTTCAGAGCAGTTAGTGTCCTTGAATTAAAAGGGGAAAGTTTTCTTCCGGTACTGCGTATGGTTATGTAAATATTTTATACCAAATTTTGGTTATGGTGATGTATGTCAAAAATAAAACTAATGACTCGAAAGAGTTGATAACGCTCGTATAGTCATTTTCAGCTTAACAAAAAATGCAGGGCTTGGTAAATCTCGAGCGTCATGTTATCGCTAAACAGCCAATGAGACTGTCGCATCAGGTGATAAGAACACCGAGGAAAACATCACGAAGCAAGAAACGTAATTGTAATAGGCCCCGCCGTGCGTTCCTTTCAGTGACTGTAGTCATCAACTATACGCATGGTGACAGCAATGAGGTGCTCCGAAGGAACAGTGGGAAAGATTGACTGAGTCATCCGAGACAGGGCCACTCGAGGTCTCCGCGCGGTCCTACCACGAATTAGCTTTGGCAGCCAGCTCAGAGGGCAACGAAAAATCGCGGGCTGCACAAAAATTACGGAATGTTTCCAATAGCATGTTTGTATCAACAAGTGAGCAGCTGACAGCTTGCTAAGAACCCTTTTATAATTGATTATAATTTTTAACGTTCCACAATTGCCTATAGTAAAACTTCGAACATCAATATTTCGCAATATTGTTTGGTTGCTATCCTTATGAAGACACCAGGTCATTTGCGTCAGATCGAAGATGACCCCAGATTTGAAGAAGTGATGCATATCGTGATTCACTTGATTTTTCACGGTGGATACTCGAATTTTCCTCATTTGCATAAGGACCGAAGTTACTATGTCTAAGCATACACGCGTACTATTTAACTAGTTGCGTCCTTTAGAGTCTGCGTTTTCTTTGTTTCTTCAAGCAACCGTTCCACTGCGAGGTGGAAGAAACGGTGGGCATAGCCTGCATCTCGTCCGGCAAGCTGTCCTGCAGAGTCCGCCTCGACAAAGGGGGCTACGTGCCGGGAGAGAGCATCGCCATCTTCGCCAGCATAGAGAACAACAGCCGGGTCACCATACGCAAGACCAGGGCCGTGCTCACGGAGGTGGGAGCCCCCTTTTCTTTCGCTCTTTCGTGGCCACCACGTGCAAAGCGATAAAGTCAAAAGACCCCTATGGAATCATCTTTATTTTTTTTTTTAAGAGAACAACAAATTACCACATTACAACCTTATGTGGTAATTCCTTCCAGTTCATTTCGCCACTTGCAAAGGGATTGCGCGTAACGCAGGAAATCATACCGACGGTGACGCTAGCGCTAATGGCAACGACTTTTCGGGGCGGCACAAGGAGCTTCTGCTTCTCTTTGCCGAGAAAGCAAAACTTTCTCCAGCTTGTTTTCCGCAGAGCGCGGCCTCATCCAACACGAATCTTGTGCACTGTGAATCCCGCATAGCACCGTGCGTGCATTGTGCACCACCCACAGTCAATGCATCATGTTGCGCTGTTTGATTTTGTGAAGGATCGGTTGGGCCAATGAGAGCAAGCGTACAAAAGTAACGAGCGCCGTGACCTTTGGCACTGGTTGATCATGTCCATCAGCTCGCGGCCTCAGCTCCGCACAAACTTGGTGCCAAACGGATTATAGACGTATGCCACATTTGGATGTTTAAACACGCAGATTTTATGGATATATAACGCGGCCTGAGTGTTCTACGTCACGTATACGGTAGGCCAACACGGTGTAGTGGTTGCACATGAGTGCTGCGCCACCTTCGCCAGGATCGCGTGACGTCACCGATTGAAATCAATGACGTCATGAGTTCCAGCCCACGATGACGCAGTACTCCGGTCTAATCCGTGCACCACTCTAGCCTCTGGTAAGAAACGCCGTACATCGAGCACTAGGGACTCGTTACCAGATGGTGTTGCTTATAGGGCGGTTTCACGTGGCGTACTCCCGGCTGGAAATCTTGTCAGGCGCCATGTTGATGAACTTGAGCCGCATGTGTTCGGAGGCAATGTTTCCCAGTTCGGTTGCGATAATTTGACTCATAATAAATCACGCCCGCCTGGGTAGTCGAACACCCAAGAAAGCATCACCTAATACTCTAGTTTCTTACATACCGGTCTTTATTTGAACCTAAGACGGGCCGGCGATTGAGAAGTGGACCCCTTGGCGGAAAGGAAGCAAATTGGTATAAGCTTGAACTCATGTAGTCCCAATACTTCCCCCATTGTACTCACCGAGTTCTCTCCTCAACAGAACCACTCGCCATGCTTCGGTGTTTCACCAACACCAAAAACGACGACAGTAGCAATGCGTCGGCGCGTAACCCAATGACAAAGGTGGTGGGCGTTGTTCATCAAGATGGCGGAACGCGGCTTACTGGAAGGGAAGGGGCGTTTCGTGGAGCCGTCCGACGCAGTGTGTTACAGATCCCAGGTAGCGTGCAAAAGTAGCGCTTAACTTGACACAAGCTTGGCAATTCTAGGGGCTTAACTTAGGAGTGATACAGGTTTGCTTCGAGGCGTTAGCGCCAGAATACTTTTCATGGTTGCTTCTGCTGCTTTTTCCTGGCTCTGCGCATAACTGCCAAAGTGCCAGACTTGAGACAAAAGATGCCATGCATAACGACCAAAAAGCCAGCAGCGAAGCCTAAATATGGCACCTGTCCGGCAATGGGGCACCACATTTCCACATAAAAAATAAAAAAAAAAATAGTGACGCCCACCTCTGGCATCTGTTCAGCTTAGACTCAAAGACGCCAGATGGCAGCCAAACTACCGGCAGTGAAGCCTACTTTCGGCAGTTCTTTGACGAGTTAGGGGTCAAGACACCCAGACTCTGGCCAAAAGGTCAAAGTTTGGCCCTTCCTTGTGCTTCTTCGGGCCTTTTCAAGGCCCCGGATTCCCCGGGCAAGAAAGGAAACACATTTCGACCGGAAAGAAACTGCGCTACCCGGAGGATACGCTTGACGAATGATCGGCTTCCTCCGCAGACGATCCAGTACACGGCCAAGAACAAGGTGGTCCAGGCCGAGACCCGGGAGCTGGCTTTCCTGGAGAAAGGCCGCGTGGAGCCAGGAGTGACCGACCAGTGGCGCAACGAGATGCTCTACATCCCGCCGCTGCCGCCCACCAACCTCAGAGGCTGCCACCTCATACGGATCCAGTACGACGTATACGTGAGTCACCTGACCACTCGGAATAGGGGACAAGGAACCTGGGCTGTGCTCACAGTGCGTGGCGAGGGTCCCGAGCATCTCATTATCGCTGAGCAGCCAATCAGATTGCGGCATCCACCGACAACAACGCCGAACAACCCGTCACGACGCAAGAAGCGTGGACATGATGAGCCGTGCCCTGCGATTCTTAAGCTCTCAGCGACTGCGCGGAACGCAAGTTCGTCTCTTCTTTTTTTGCTAGGGTCTGTGGTGACGTCAGAACGCCGAACTCTGATTGGCTCTGTTTGAAGAATGGTGGGTATTAGATTTCAATGCAAGCTGCATTGAGGTCTACCCACTTTCCATCAATCAGAGCCGATCAGAGTTCGGCGTTCTGACGTCACCACAACGCCTGCGAGAGAAGCAGATGAACTGGCGCTCCGCCTACACTCTTCAGAAAAGGCCTGGGAGTTCACTTTTCTGCCGAAAACGAGACGACGAGGAATCACGGTGGCGAACAGTAGACGCGTGCCAGCGAAACACGAAGCTGAGATTACCATTAGACCAACAAAATAAAAAGTGCGATGCGTTTAGGGACAATGAGCACGATGTTTCACATGCTGACTGTCCTGGTGCAAATCGCTTTTTGTTTTCCTTCACTCTCATCGTATATTAGCTTTATCATTCGCCGAGATCCTCGCACTTTTAGCAATGGTGGGCTGTCTCTGTGTTTTGCGGGAAAGCGTACTCGCATACTCTTTTTCGAGCGTAGTGTGCTTCGTCTTTATGTCAATACTTGTAATAGTAGTAAGACACTTTTATTATGCGAGAAAACAGGGAGAAGAGAGAAGGGGTCGTGTCGATGGCTATGAGCTCTGCACGTCCTGGCACACGACACACACAAACACGCAGTGAACGTACCTGTAGGGTGCCAGTAGAAGCCCATCTCAGGTGGAAGCATAATTTATTCTGTACTTCCCTGATCATGAAAAACGACTCCCGTCGTCATTAAGTATACTTCCACCTGCATTTGTAAAACAAAAAGGAACGAAATAAATCATTCAATATTCAAAATAAGAGCGCATCATCGAAAAACATGATAACGATCTACTCTGTGACCACAGTACTAGAGTGGAGCACACTTTTCGGCGTCTAGTTTTGGTGTCGGACGAACAAATCGGCGTTTTTAGGGACAAAAAGATCAGAATATCAGAAACGGTCATGGGATAGCCAAACATCCAGGTAACATGCGCCTGATCCGAATACAGAGAAAGTGATGCTATATAAAGGGTGTAGCCTCCGAAGAAAATGCAAAAAGCCTCGCATCCGTTCCGTCTTGGCTTTGTGTTCCAGAACACAAAATGAAGCTGGAGAAACAATTGGTGAACAGTTACGCTACCCGTAAGGTGAAACACTGCGTCAGGTGAGCTGCAACGTCAGAGCCGCTAAGGTGGGATTGCGGAGCAGATGGACTGAAGGAACACTGAAGGTGGGAGCGTGCATCGTGGAGTCCGCATAGGTGTTCCATTTCAAAGCGAGTACCACACCGTACTAAAATGCAGTGGCTTTTTGTAACCCACGACGGTGTATTAAGTAGAGAGCATTTCGGGAACCTGTTAAGCAATTTTATTGGACACAAACTAGGACCGCCTCGTGGTAAATGAACATTTCGAAAATCGAGCGCCAAAGCTTCAAGATCGAGGGAACGACGAAACTTGATCCGTATTCATGAACCGTTCCCTGTCGTCGGTGTGGCCGCCTGAACTGACACCGCCTCGTGGTCCCTGAAGAACGCTTCCGAAATCGTGCACTCAAGTTTCAAGCGCGTAGCTCCATCTAATGTCATGCCCGAGGTTTCGCAGGCTTACCACCCAGCTAGCTTTATTTGTGTTATCGCCCGAGAACCCTTCTGGCGCAATTAGCGAAAACGCTTTGTTTTTATTATTTCCCTAATCAGTAGTGTCAAGGGTACGTTTCTACGTGCCGTCATGGTGTCAGGTGACATGACGTCACAAGTGAGGTCATCATGTGACTCCCGCTGTCACCTGACGTCATTAGGTCGCCTGGCCTCACTGTGCGACGGGACTTGGCAATGTCGCGTCGTGGTCTCAGCTGTCGCCAGGTAACACGTGATCCGAGGCGTGACGTCAGAGTCGAGCAGCGTCAATGGAGAATCTTTGGGCCGAAAATGGCCGGCGTCGATAGGGAGCGCGGTCGACAGCGGGAAGCCCGCCAAGTTTTTCGCTCACTGCTATCGCAGGAAAATACTTTTTTTCCGACATTGTTTTCTTCTTATTCGAGGAAATTTCCTATAGGTGTTTTGTCGAGTTTGTCCCGATTGGGATAAAACCGGTGTCAGGGGATATCTCTCGGGGTTTATCGGTGCATTCCGAAGACACTGAGACCCAGTGCTCGCCTCTTTCTCTACGTAGTTTGTGATCACGCCCAAGGGTCCGGACAAGGAGATCAAGCTCCAGCTGCCGATCATGATGGCCACCTACCCGATCCGCAACAGCGACGGCACCCTCCAGCGAAAGAAGGGCACCCACTACCCGACCGTGCTGCCCGTCTTCAGGCCCTGGCTCAACACCGACAAGTTCAAGGGTTGAACGCCGCCCTTCCTTAGTTTGCCAGGAAGCCGGCCACTCCTCCTTATAACCCAATGCCACGACGCCCGCTTCATGGAACCGCTGCATACCAGTAGTTAGCCCCGATCTTGAAGAAAGGGAATCTATATTCTCACTAAAACCAAATGTGAGTCAAGGCGGCGTTACGAGGCATGAGTAGCTGCCCCGCTTTAATTTAAAAACAAAAGCGCTCGTAAACATTTCGGTTATGTTCCTTTAAAAAGAAAAACGCCGAAGGCAAGATGCAAATCTTTATACAACTAATAGGTTCTCACTAATGATCTATAGACGCTTTTTACAAACCAGCTCTCGTTAGGCCACACTGCGCGTGCGCACAAACCAAACCCGCGCGAGGTGAAGCACCGCGCATGTTCAGTGTCCACAGCAGTGCCACTCCAGTGACGTCATGCAGTTGAGTTGGTCTGTAGAGGAAAACTGGAGCGTCTACTTTCCCACAAAGCACAATTAGGAATTTTTTAGACCTAGAAGAGTAGGTTTCAATGCCGGCACGGAGCTTGACGTTTCACCTGGCTCAGTACCACAGGACAGTCTTTTTAACATATTTTAACCCGCGCAAATTGCCGAGTTGCTTCCGTAAACCTCAACGACTACCTGTCCCGAGTGTTTTACGGAAAAGGTAGACGCTAAAGTTTTTTTTATAGACCAACTCAAGTCACGCCACTACGGTGGTGCGAAGTCAGTCAGTTGAGTTGGTCTTAACTGTCTGATTTCTTACCTGTACAAGGGACAACGTTTTGTGACCATTCAGGAGAGAAGAATGTGTCATGCATAGTGAAAGAAGGTGCGCCAGCGCACGGAAGCCCATAGATTTGGCTTCATTTGGGAGTTTTAGTAGACCGTGTTTTCCCCTTCGCTAGCCCTCCGCTACGAAGGAACCGCCACTGCGCCTGCGCGCCGATGGCCTTGGCTGTGAGTTCCGGGTAGCGGAGGGGCTTAGCGGAGCAGCAAACACGGTCTACTAAAACTCGCTATTGTCTCAGAAAAGTATCTCCGATGGGAGAAGCCTACCGTAATATCCCGAGAAATAGCCCGCCTAAACTCGAAAGCGATTTGGATGAAAATGAGAAGCGGGCTAACTTTGGGCGAGCGATCAAAACAAGTTGAAAAACATTCTAGTTTTAGATCCTGTGACCTGCGAAAGTTGTGATCGCAGGGAGGGGCGATGAACCAAAGGCGACTGTCGTTCATAGTCAGCGATGTTCGCTTATCTTCCGACGTGGCTAAGTAACGCCGTTTCTGCCGAGGTCACCAGTGGACCAGGCCCCGCAAATACCTCAAGTGGGCTATATTTCGGCGTTTTTTGGAAAAATAGCAAATTATGCCAGAAATAAAGGTGCTCCATCTTTCCGGGCTGGGGCATCTCCCGGGATATTACGGTATTAGTGGCATGTGCTATTTTCAAATGCTCAAAAGTATGAGGTGCGTTGTTCTTCTTAGTGTTTCTATATGTTGTGTATAAAAAAAATTCACAGATCATATTTTAATTATATGACTGGCATAGGAAGGTCACTGTGCTTACATCATTCAGCCATTTTTTTACGAATTTAACAAAAAAGAGACTATAGATGAGCGTTAAATGAGCATAAGAAACACCCCGACTTAACTGTCTCGCACAACATTACAAAAATTGTACTTACTTTTTAGCCGTCCGAGAGTATGGTTCATCCGGAAGAAAGTCATTGCAACTAAGTACTTGTAGCAGCTATTTATTTTTAATTCCGATTAAGATACCCGCTATGCGCATTCAAGTAACAAGTGCACCAATGTATAGGCTTTGGCTGTTTTTGGGCACTCAAAATAAACAAACAAACAAACAATGGCGCCTGGCGTCATTAAAGGGATACTGAACCGAAATTTCGAGCTCACTAAACAAGGCCGGGCGGATAGGCGGGAAGCTGCAAAACCAAAAAAATATCCTTCGTACGGCGATATATCTAACGGATCGCCGTATTTTTTGGAAAAGAAGTGCGCGATTGAACCCGGCCGACGAGGCCGACAAGGCTAGGCACGTCACGATTCCCATTCTCTCTCCTCCTCGCCACGTGCCGTCAAGCTGGTGAACCGAAGCGAGGAGGAGAGAAGCGAGGCCGCTTCTCCTCATTCTCAAATTCTCCCGGAGGACAGTTACGTCAAAGAACTCGCTTGATCGCGCCCTTCTGTTCCAAAAGTACGGCCATCCGTTTGAAATATCGATGTACGAGTGATGTTTTGGAGTTCGTAGCGTCCCGTTCAACACTTCTGCAACCTTACTTTGCGAAATCCCAATTTCGGTTCAGTACCCCTTTAAGCGTTCTCTGCATGTAGAAAATTCCGGTGAAAGACTCTTCAAATTGGGTTTAAGTCGGTGTAGCTTGCAAAGTACTGGCAATGTTTAAAAACAAAAGTTGATATTGATATGTTTCTTGCTCGTGAGCAATCGACCACTTCAATCTATGATCTTTCGATCAACCATATGAAAAAGAACAGCTTAACTTTGTGGGCAAAGGTTATATACGTATTTATTCTGTTGTAGCCTCTTGCCTCTAACTAAAAGAGTTCGGTTTCTTGTTTTTAAACAAAAAAGAAACCATTAAATTATGCATAATTTGTAATACTAGAAGGATACCTACTTAAAAGATTCATTGATAAGCATATATTCCTATGGAAAACATCATAAGGCGATGGCGGAAATTTTACCATATAACACAATTTTTAAAAAAAAATATTTTAACTATAGTGTGGCGAGAATTCATGGAAGACTGTTTCCCGCGGTTTTTTAACATTGCCTTCAGCTTGTTTTTATCTTTATATTTTACATTTCTAGGTAAAACGCGTCAAGCTTTATCTCCTAATATTACCCGAGTGAATTTTATAGCGCCTAAACTGATGACGAGCTAGATCAGTTTTCTTTTCTGATGTCTCTTGGTTTCATTGAGTGATAATACTTGTAGCTGAACAGTTGTTTTGACAAGATGCCTAAACATTTATGATTGTTACTAATTGAGTAATTTTATTATTCCCACTTTATTTCTGTGCTGCTATCTTCCTAACTTTTTTTTTTCTATTGAACCCTTCTGATTTGTGCTGCGTTTGCGTGTGAACGTCATGGAAATGAACGTGTCAAATAAGGGAGCAGGTACCAAGTGTCCCTTCTGTCTATTAAGGTTGCGTCGTAAAAGTCTGCATGGATTGCGATCCCATTGTACCCCTATTGAACAACAACAGCTAAGACAAAAAGCATTTATTGAAAATTACGCGCTTCCTGCCACTTCTGACACAAACGCGTCCTTAAAGGTACGCTTAAGAGGTTCTTTTTTTAGAGCGCAGCTCTTAGGCGCCCGTTTCCGGCTTGAGCGGCGTCGGCGTAACCGCGCGGTGCATTATGGGTAAATTTCCCCGCTAAATTTAGCGGAAAAATTTCCCCGCTATGTCTAGCGGAAAATTTTCCCCACTAGATTTAGCGGAAAAATTTCCCCGCTAAATCTAGCGGAAAAATTTCTCTTGGGGGTCACGTGACCCCCCCCCCCCCCCTCACCTCAGTACCCTTCCCTACTCCTCAAGAGCTGCGCTCTAATTCGGCGTTACAGGGAGTTGTAAACGGCTTCCACTTTTTTTATCCCAATAATTACTATTTTCAATTTTGACTTCATGAGTGGCGGTTTGGGATTTGGGGAGGGTGTAGCAAAATGGAAATAAAATTGAACAAATGAAACTAATTTGATCTACTTACTGCACCAAGTTTTAAACGTAAAATATTCTCCACATTCACGTCCCGTTTGAATGTAAAACGCGCAGTCAGAAGTTGTTGTTTTGATTTTTTGCAACTTATGGGTTCGCTGTTTTCTCTTATTTCGCCTCTTCTTCTCTTTTTTTTTTTTTTTTCTGCGAAGAACGAAATACTAAACCTGTTAGGCTCTTCTTTCGTGTGAGAGGAGGAGTCGCAAACTAATATAGTACGTGATTTTTTTTTTACTTAAATGAGCAGGAAGATTAAATAAGCGACAAAAAAGTCACAACCTCTAGTGCACATGAAAGAATTCTGTCATCCTCAAGGTTTAAAACAGTCTTTATAAAGTACGTTTACGATATAAACTGTGCGGTGACTAAGTCTACCAAAACACGGCCCTCCTAAGAAATCATTTCTATTGTGGTAGAACAGCAGCAAAGGCGGGAAGAATAAGAGAAAAAAAACTGCTCACACACGGTCTATCGGGAATGATGCAGTTTTTTGTTGTGGAAACTGCACACACCTTTTCTGGTGTGCTGAGATCCGTCCATTGTATGGTCACTGACAATGTAAGAAATACAGGGCGAGGCTAATTATATTTACGTGTCTTGCTTTGCCATTCGTCCTACGGAATTCCTATCGTCAAATGCAGAAACCTTATTGACTTCCGAGTGGCGATAAGCTGTTCCGACCTCGCCACGTTCTGCACTTCCCGATCTGTCGGTGACATAGTTTATTTCTAGAGGTTTTTTTTTTTTTTTTGCGTTTGCAAAGTTTGTTTTTGTAGATGTAGTGAATGAGTGTACTGTGTTCTCGTACGTGCTGGCACTAGGCTTATAAGTTCTTGTAAATATTGCTGTGGGAAAGATTTTTGCGTGGTTTTTTGCGAGGTGAAAAAATACTATGCGCTTCGCGAGCTCAACGCTGTTTATTAACTGGCTCAAATATTTTTGTTTGAATAATAAATATTGCGATTGATTTATTTTCGTGCTTGCTCGTTCTTGTCATTGAGTGTTTCTTTACGGACAAAACATTTGCCCACATATCCCAACTTCCAAGGGTTTCCATAAAACGCAAGGTTCTCTATTTCGGCTTACCCAATGCTTCCTGGCCGAGACTGGAATTGGAAACAAGAGATACAAATCCATCGCTGCACTGCAAAGTTTAAAAAGCAAATTAGATGGCGTCTAAACGCTTATTAAGCGAGAATTAAGTCAGCATTCTTTCGAAAAATATGACTGCAGTGGCTGCAGACACGCCGAGTAGCCAGGCTGCTAACCTAGACGTCCAACATATACCTTAAAAAAATGTTTTTGTGTTTTGTTGTTGTTATTGCAACGCTTGCGTTTCTGTCTTCCTCTTCCTCGGCAATGATCAATGGGGTTTTGATCAACCATCGTATGATTAGCGCACCACAGCTCGGAGCACGTAGAGCGAAATTTCGCGCCGCAGAAACAAAC